GTCAAGTTTGTGTATTATTTCGTCCAAAAAATTATCAATTTTATGGGTAACAACATTCTACATGATTAGCTGACTGGGTAAATATTTCACTATTTATTTACAAGGTTTTTTTGTTTATTGTACTGTTGAGGCTGTGACTCGCATGCTCTCATTTCAGCATGTATTTACAATTTTGTTTTATTCTAAAACTCTTTTTCTTAAGTCAAGGCATTCTAATAATAATATTGGAATGACACCTATATAATTTTGCAAAGTTCCATGTAACTTAATATTCTGGAAATTAGCGAATACTGCTCACTAAACAATAACAAATACTATATATGCTAACTTATCATATAATTATCTTATGTGACTTAATCGGATATAACCCATTGTACAGTAATAACTTTAGTATAATTATTATATGTGAACTCTAGGATATTACTTATTGTACATGTACAGTAGCAACTTTACAAAACTTATTGCACTTAGTTCATAACTCACTGAACAATGAGGACTAGTACAGAGTAGAACTGCTTACAGTAGAATATCATTTTATAATGTTTAACAAACTAAATAAACTAAAAGAATGTGTTTGTACTGACGATAGTACAGTAAAACTCACAAGGAGTTGTTGACAACTTTGACCAGATGTAATTACCATACAATGATTCTCACAATCATCAAATGTTAACTAAAGTACAAATAGAAGGCATTTTCTAATAATGAACTCCAGATGGCCCTCATTATAATAAGATGGAAAAACATACTCAAGTCACACAATGGAAATGAAATGATACAGATACCGGTAGTTGTACAAAATTAACCCAATGCAGCTATTTGAGAAGAGTACTGCTCACAGTATAAACTGACAAATGTGTTTGAAAATAAACTTTGAAAAAATCTAATTACCATTATAGTGACTTCACACAAAGGTCAAATATTAACTAGAGTAAAAACAAAGTCATTTTTCTATAATGAACTTAAGATGGCACTGATTCCAATAAGATGAAATGTATATGTAATCACACAACAATGGAAAATTCCAAAGGATTTCAAACCAACTATTACACCACGGATTTTCTCGTTAAATCCTGATACAGATTAGTAGGATTGAATTTCAAAACATTAAAATTGCTTTTCTTTAATCAAAAAAAAGAGATTTCACATTTACGTTTTAACTGAAAAATAATTGCTCCATATCTCATTATTATGCATGTAAAGTGCACCATTAATAAACTTGGTTATCCTTATACCTTTGTTTATAACATATATAAATTTGAAACCGATAGAGTAAAAATTACTTGAGTTATGGTGCCCACAAGCGAAAACCAATCAGTAGCCGTCTCTCATTAATTATGCAAGCAAAATGCACAAACATCGAACTTGGCCATCATTTCACGTTTGTTTATACCATATATAAATTTGTAACCGATCATGCAAGAATTACTCGAGTTGTGGAGCGCACACAAGCAAAAACCAATCAGTAGCCATCTCTCATTAATTATGCAAGCAAAATGCACAAACATCGAACTTGGTCATCTTTGCATGTTTGTTTATAACGTATATAAATTTGAAACTGATCGTGTAAAAATTACTTGAGTTATCGCACCCACAAGTCACGCCAACAACAACGCCAAAATCTTCCCCTTACTATACCTTCCACTTCGTTTACACTGCGGGCAAGGCAATAAAAGTGGTTCTAGTCACTTCAAATATATATTGATTGGTTCTACCTATTATTGACGTGAAACTTTTCCAAACTGAAAATAACCAATACTAGCATACTGATGTATGCTAGAATTTAATATTGACAACAGCTTTGTTGTAATAAATATTCATCAGCATTCCAATGGGAATAAAATGTGCTTCCTTACTGGCAGATTTATTTCTTTATTCGTATGGAGCAATTATTTAAAAACTTATGGTATGAAGCCAAGTCCTTTAAGTTCACACTGTGGTATATTGATGAACTACCTTCTATCAACAATCCTAAATTTAGTTGTAACATTCTAATGATATAACCAGTTGAACTTAAGATTAAGAAGACTATTGGATCTGCTTCTTCCATTTTGTACTTAGACGTGTGCCTTCAATTTGACTCGAAAGGACCAACTTTCTGCCAGACTATATGATCAAAGAGATGGTACATTTTCCAGCTGAGTTGCCATACAAGAGTCTGTTGTTGCTGACTTGTGAAAAGACATTGTTTTTGTCAAAACACCAGAAAGTCTTTTGGCAGATATGATGAGCTTGTGGTTAAAAACAATATCACTATTACAAAGATGATTTCAGATAGCATCAATGTCACTTGTCTGATGCAGACATCAGGTTTCATAAAGAGAGCATTTGATTATGGCTCAGAAAGGCATATGGCGAGTCCCACATGTGGAGCAAGATGTGCCCTCTATTTTCAAAATGTACAACATCCATATATACGTCTCCTATGTACTGTATTGTAGTGTAATTGTCAGTTGCTTTGTTCTTGTGGATTGTTTGTCAATTGATTTCAGTAGTCTGTTTCATGTTCTTGGGCTTGTAAGTTTCCCTAAATGATCTATGGTTTAGTCTTTACACAGACACATCATGTAGCTTCACTGATTTTAGAAACAGATTCCCATAAAAGTTTCCCAATCGATCACAAAAATATTTCTAACCTTCAACCACAGAATGTCGCATAGAATGCTTTAGCCTTTCCTAAACAACTTTCTTTCCTTCCCCCACAAATTTCCTGACTTCTTAACAATTATACCAACTTCCCAGACAACTTTCACAAACATATACATATACCAGAATCTGAGATGTGGTTTGCTTTTAACAATTGGTATTGTTGTTCAGTGAATACATGTACACAAATTCTATTTATTATTATCACATGGCATACAAGGGCACCTGATGTACATTCCAAGTCACATGATATTCCAAGTTACATGACATTCCAAGTCACATGACAATGTCTACAATCAGAAATAGACCTTAGACAAAAATGGCCGCCGAAATCTCATTGAGAGGTAGAGAAGGACTAGACTTGTTTTTGTCCCTAAAATGTGTGTTCTATTTTCTACAGAATGATAGACATTTAAAGTTTAACAATCAATCCATCTGCAATTATAGAACTATTTTTCAAACAGAATTACATTCATAGAGATTCATTTAACAAAATATGTGAAGTTAACAGTTGAAAAATAGCTAAAATGTTTTTTTCACTGAAACTTTGATACAAGAAAAAACTATTTTAAATTACATTAATTTCATTTGGCTTTTTAAAATTTTAAATAAAGAACATAGTTGAACTCTGGTGACCTTGCCCTTTGTTATATAATATAATTCCCTTGAACATAGTTTGTTTCAATATAAATATGCATTGTCATAATTAATTTTGAATACAAACAAGTTTTGGGGTTGAACTAACAGTGGGGAATCAGTCTACCGAATGTCCTTAAAAGATGTAAATATCTTACAAAAACATTGGTGCCTTATTTGTTTAATTATTTTAAGGGACATAATTTCCAGCTTTCTTCAAAGTAATTCAGATATTTTAGTATAAAAACAAATGTCTCATTAAAAAAAAAGTGCTGCATGTAGATGTGAATAGATTCATAAAACATGTTC